TACGAGGAGACACTTTAGGGAGATTCACATTTTGCTCACCTCTGGGGAATAGCACAGTTGATTATATGATAACTGACATAGATCCTTCATCTCTCAGATCATTCACTGTTAGAGAACTAACCCCTCTGTCTGATCACAGTCAAATCACTGTGCATCTCAAAAAGACAGAAAATAGCATTAACACAAAGCCCAGTAAGCTGTACAACATCAGAAAGCCATATACTGTAGATGGGCTGATAACAGCGCTGAAGAATATCAGAAAGCACTTAGCAGCCAAAAAATACAAGCGCTGATAGATAACTTTCTAAATAACACCTATGCTCACACTAATGAGGGTGTCAATCTTGCGGTCAAAGATATAAATTACATATTTGAAAAATCAGCAAAACAATCCAAATTGAAAACAAAAAATGGAAAAAATCAAATACCAAAAAATGACAAAAATTGGTTTGATCAAGACTGCCAAACTATTCGCAAAAAACTGAGAGCATTGTCAAATCAGAAACACAAAGATCCAAATAATGCAGAGATCCGCCTTCTTTACAGTGAAACACTAAAACAGTACAAACATACACTCAGAACCAAAAATGCACAAGACACCCAAAAACAACTGACAATAATCGAGAAGTCAGTGAACACAAACCAATTTTGGGAAAATTGGAACAATCTGAAAAAAACTGACCATAAAATTTGGCAATACAAAATTATGTTTTCTAAAAATAAAATGACAAGAGTAGACATGAAAAGGCAAAAACAAATCAGCAATCAATTTTTAGGTTTCAGGATTTTTTTATAACTAACTTTAAGGATGGTTCTCAACTATGTTATAAAATATATAACAAAATGATTTGGTATACCATTTTGCTTTATGCAATATGTGTGTAAAAATTCCATAAACTGGTTTTCCCATTAAGCACAATGTTATCTATACACTGTATCTAATTTGCATATTAAAGTGCTGTTGGGACAGCATGTTGAAAAAAGAAGTGTAATAATGGGAGTAGTAATTGGCCAGATTTTCATAATAATATCTAATATTTCATAAGAATATTGATACATAATTTGTTTTCCTATTCAATTCGTTTGTCTCCCAAAATGTATAATAAACATGCTTTTAGTCCTGGTGTCCTCTACAGTGGACATGTATGAAATGATGTCCTGTTTCATAACAGGAAGTCACATTTTGATTTGAAACCCAATAACATTTTCCTGAGATGTTGATTTATGACAAACAGAGGCAAAAACTCCATAGCTGGGTCTCAGGAGGATATGGAAGCGCTATTTCCTCGCTTTCTAGGCTATAATCAATTCAGAATTCAAATAAAAGTTTTGTTTTACTGCTGCTAACAGGACCAACAGCCACAAACCCTGTACATGCAGCAAAGTTTCAGGAGTGACTGAAAAAGAACGGGTGAGATACAGGAAAGTCGGTAATGTTAATGGCATGTAAATGGCTACTGTTTTAGGCATGATGCATTTATATATATATATATATATATATATATATATATATAGAGCGCTTTCATTGAATTGCTGCACACCCAACGCGCCTTACAATCATGAGGGGATCTCTCTTCAACCACCACGCTATTACAAGAGAAAGGTATTGATAATCACAACATGTTGAACGTGATCCTTATTTTATAAAGAGGAGCGATTTTTTAACTAAATTGAAATACTTGCCTGCCATTAAGGCGATGGATATAGGCTAAGCAACTAACCCTGATTGTAAACAAGCTATTTCGTGAAGTGAATCCCGTATTTATATGAGGGATGCGGGATATATGTCACTCCTGAAACTGTGCTGCATGTACAGGGCATGTGGCTGTTGGTCCTGTTAGCAGCAGTAAAACAACTTTTATTTAAATTCTGAATCGATTATAGCCTAGAAAGCGAGCAAATAGTGCTTTCATCAAAGTTAATCACTAAAAAGCAGTCACTCACTTCAATTTATTGCAATCTCACTATTCCGTGAACTGCGAACAATATCTTATTTACATCGTGTCTATGTGTGGCGTTTAGCATTCAGTGAATTCTGACCGTGTCACCCTGTATCTATTTATATATTTCTTTATTAATATATTATTATCTTATATTAACCATTTGCACACACGAGCATTATCCGGCTTCGCTCCTCCCGACCGCAGACACAGGTTTACAAGCCTCTTTTTCCAGCGTTTTTCAGTCAAATTCTTGAATTTTCCCCCCTTAAGAGCAACACATTTTCGTACACGAAAGCTTCTTGTGGTTCCTCGGTTTGTCCGATTTGAGCATCCATAAACAACGCAAAACACTGGCATTTTGAGTTTCTGCTAGTGATTTCTATGGAGAAAAATCACTTCCTGCCCTCCAGCTGCATTGCGCGCGTCATCAGAATCACGTGATTGCACACTACCTATTGGCCATTCTAAAACTATTCAGTGTGCTTCTGAGTGTAGGTTACTTCCCTGACATCTGGAATCAAGGCTTGATAACACCAATCTTTAAAAACGGAGATAAATTTTATCCTAACAACTACAGAGGCATCTGTGTGAGCAGCAACCTGGGAAAGTTATTCTGTAGCATAATAAATGCTCGACTATTAGACTTCATCACCACACACAATGTACTGAGCAGAAGCCAAAGCTTTTGACTCACTTTGGCACCAAGGATTATCCTACAAACTTATTGAAAGTGGCATAGGAGGTAAAACCTATGACCTTATCAAATCAATGTACACTGAAAGTAAATGTGGCGTAAAAATCAGCACCAAACGTACAAGGTATCTTTCCCAGGAGCGTGGAGTGAGACAGGGCTGCTGCTTAAGCCCAATGTTATTTAACATTTACATCAATGAGTCTGGAGCGATCTGCAGCCCCTGGCCTCCCCCTCCACACCTCACAGATCAGATGCCTGCTGTATGCAGACGATCTGGTTCTGCTGTCTCCCACTCAATACGCTTTACAGCAGAACCTGGACCTGCTAGAGCCATACTGCCAGACCTGGGCCCTGACAGTCAACCTGAAGAAAACCAAAATTATGATCTTTCAGAAAAGATCCAGATCCCAGGGAACACAACCCACATTTACCTTAGGCACTAAGCAGATAACACACACATCACACTATAACTACCTGGGTTTGAAAATCACATCCACGGGAAACTTTAATCATGCTGTGAATGAACTGAGAGATAAAGCACGCAGGGCCTTCTACGCCATAAAACGGCAATGTCCTATAGAAATCCCTATTAGAATTTGGCTGAAAATATTAGAATCAGTAATTGAGCCCATTGCCCTCTATGGCAGTGAAGTGTGGGGTCCACTGACAAATCCAAATCAAGATGTCACCAAATGGGAAAAGCATCCGATTGAGACCCTGCATGCAGAACTCTGTAAAAAATATATTACACGTGCACCGGCACACAAATAACGCATAAAGGGAAGAATTAGGCAAATATCCTCTAATCATAAAGATACGGCGGGGCATAGAGGACCTACAATAATGTACAGTATTTGAAAAATAATGTGTTTTTTGAACATTAAAGCATGTCAACATATTCTGTTACACCAAATACACAAAGTAATGATCTTTAAAAAAGCATCAAATGACCCCTTAAAGGAAATGGCTCAACCGTAATGTTATGAAGCTACGAGAATACTTTCTGTGCACAAAGAAAACAAAAATAACAACTTTATTCAAAGAGTTCACAAGAGTTCTATGACACTTGCACATGATGCTGTTGATGGGAGGAGCCGCCATTCTGACATAGAACCCGGATGCGCCTTTTGTTTTCTTTGCACATAAAATGTATTCTCGTAGCTTAGAGAGTACTTCTCGTAATATATATATATATATATATATATATATATATATATATATATATAAAACCATCAAATGCTAAAACTCTAACATTTTGGGATTGCCCCATGAATCACATAGGCTAAATGGTCTCTTTTGGCTCCAAAAGTTAACAACTTTGGGACAGTTTTAATTTTGTACCAACAATAATCACTGCACTTAACTGTCAAATGTATTTAAATGCGTTCCAAATTCATGTGGCTCAAAAATGAGAGGGCACATAAGTGGGCACGATGCCTCTGAACGCAGTTACCTGTGGTTTCAGACGAAACTCCTCCCTGCAGATCACACAGGGCTCGGTTGAGTCTCCCTCCTGGATGGACCTGGTTTTGACCTCTGCCCACTCCTCTGCAGTTAGTCTTCTTGAAGGAGCTGCCACCAGACCCATCCTCTGGGCTGCATCAACAGCAACAACTGAACATTAGCCAATGTGGGCTTCCAGCAAAACCTAAGCATGAAACACAATAATCGCAGCCTACCAAGAGTCAGAGGTGGAGGGCCACGATCCAGCACATACTCTCTCTCCTCTTGTCCTTGTGTCTGCTCAGGACATGTGACGCTCTGCCTTGAGCTGTGATTTCTGTGCTTTCTACTAACATGTGCAGCCCCACAGGAAGCGTCTGATACGGGGAGGTTACGAGGAATGTTTCGAACAAGAACGCTTTGTGTGATATGCTCCTGTAGTGCTACAGCTGCTAGAGTCAGCCTCCCGTGCTCTGCTTTACAGCCGAATCCCTAAGGAACATGGAGCAGTCAAACTCAGTTAATACACTGTAAACCAGTTTAGACTACCGGTCTACTGCGGCATGAGGGCAAGAAGCATGTTTCCATATTGATGGCAATCCCAATGTAACTGTGTAATCTGACTACAGTAATAGCCTTTTTGTCAATGAATCTACTTCATAATTCACTGAAATGTAATTATATTCAAGTGGATTCTGTTTTTTGTTTTTTTTTATCAGTGACTACATATTTCTCATGGGTTCTTAAAAGTGTGAAATGGACCGATACTAATTCTCTGGGTCCTGCATTTGATGAGTACTCAGTCATGACAAACATTCTTGAAACTGAGCACTCATGAGCAAAGATGGCAGTCTTTTGTGGGGTCCTTTCATCAGTCCATCATTGTCCACTGAGATGATGGCAGTGCTAAGGTATTACAGACCTAGCTGGCTTTTTGTCTTGGGATTAATTATAGACGAATGGCTATGAAGCATTACCACATTTTAATCCAATATTTTCAGCCCGTTCAAACAAATCTTTAAACTTGAAACTGTGTGTTCAAGAGCTGCGCTGAAGTCTGTCATATTGATATGGAGAGTCTGGGAGTTGTGTGTCTTACAGCAAGTTCCTTTTTTATGAGAAGATTGCATGTTGTTAAATTGAACGTTGCGTCATACGCCAGTGATTTATAAGCACCATAACAATGGTAGATTATATTGTTATGATGATGATGATAATGATTATAGGATTAAATGAGCGTTACTGAATTCGTAAAGCAGAAAAGATTTTTAGTCACCAGCCTCATAAAACTGTCACGATTGTAACATTTTAAGTAACTATTATGCCGTTTATTTTACAGCGTCAATTTATCTTAGACCTGTGTCTCACAGAGATATGAACACAGAGATTAGCCTACAAATAGCTTACGAGCATAGATATCTATGCTTACGAGAACTTGCGAATGTGTCGTTGATATGGCGGTCAATTGTTTACCGTGGCAACCTAACTTTACACCTGACTGTCTCGGAATCAGAACAGTAACGTTAACCATAACAGCTAGCAAGAGCGCAAACGTTATCTTAAATTATGAGGCGCAAAATAAGCAGGGACGCATTTTGATAACCTTACAAGTCACCCTCTCAAACTAGCATAACAACGCAGAGATGATCCTCAAAAAGAGTAAAGAAAAGCACCTCACCCGCGGCATTGCTGTCCACAGAAACAGTGTTTGCTTGGTCGCTATGCAACGAAATTCCATTCAACTCAGTGTGACGTTCCCACGAACTCAACTAGTTTTCCTGTTTGTCAATAGATCTGATTACGAGTGATGAATTGAATAGTGGAAATACTTTAAAAAATGTACATTTCAATTCAAAAATACGTTTTTAAAACATTTATTATGAGGTCTGAAAACAATTATGTTGATTTTTAATTTACACTCATAAATAATTATTTGGCTAAATAAATTAAGAAACAATCATGTCAAGTTTATGGATTTTGTTAAAACAATTCTATAATTACAACAGCACCAAAAACAATCATATAAAAAACAAAGCAATAGCTAAATTTGTCACCACAATGGTGAACAAATGGTGAAAACAGACCATTAAACACTGTCCTTTTTGCTAATCTTGTCCAAAAAAAAAAAACATTTAAAAATTGTGCCATTTCAACATTCACTCCTCAATTCCCTCACTGGGAAAACCTTAATTTTTTTATCAGCTGCCGGTAGAGTTTGCACTTTGCACTGAATTGGTCTGGGAGGGAAAATCATGTGAGGCCTACAATGTTTAAAATGCAATGTCATGTTTCCATATTGATGGCAATCCCAATGTAACTGTGTAATCTGACTACAGTAATAGCCTTTTTGTCAATGAATCTACTTCATAATTCACTGAAATGTAATTATATTCAAGTGGATTCTGTTTTTTGTTTTTTTTTATCAGTGACTACATATTTCTCATGGGTTCTTAAAAGTGTGAAATGGACCGATACTAATTCTCTGGGTCCTGCATTTGATGAGTACTCAGTCATGACAAACATTCTTGAAACTGAGCGCTCATGAGCAAAGATGGCAGTCTTTTGTGGGGTCCTTTCATCAGTCCATCATTGTCCACTGAGATGATGGCAGTGCTAAGGTATTACAGACCTAGCTGGCTTTTTGTCTTGGGATTAATTATAGACGAATGGCTATGAAGCATTACCACATTTTAATCCAATATTTTCAGCCCGTTCAAACAAATCTTTAAACTTGAAACTGTGTGTTCAAGAGCTGCGCTGAAGTCTGTCATATTGATATGGAGAGTCTGGGAGTTGTGTGTCTTACAGCAAGTTCCTTTTTTATGAGAAGATTGCATGTTGTTAAATTGAACGTTGCGTCATACGCCAGTGATTTATAAGCACCATAACAATGGTAGATTATATTGTTATGATGATGATGATAATGATTATAGGATTAAATGAGCGTTACTGAATTCGTAAAGCAGAAAAGATTTTTAGTCACCAGCCTCATAAAACTGTCACGATTGTAACATTTTAAGTAACTATTATGCCGTTTATTTTACAGCGTCAATTTATCTTAGACCTGTGTCTCACAGAGATATGAACACAGAGATTAGCCTACAAATAGCTTACGAGCATAGATATCTATGCTTACGAGAACTTGCGAATGTGTCGTTGATATGGCGGTCAATTGTTTACCGTGGCAACCTAACTTTACACCTGACTGTCTCGGAATCAGAACAGTAACGTTAACCATAACAGCTAGCAAGAGCGCAAACGTTCTCTTAAATTATGAGGCGCAAAATAAGCAGGGACGCATTTTGATAACCTTACAAGTCACCCTCTCAAACTAGCATAACAACGCAGAGATGATCCTCAAAAAGAGTAAAGAAAAGCACCTCACCCGCGGCATTGCTGTCCACAGAAACAGTGTTTGCTTGGTCGCTATGCAACGAAATTCCATTCAACTCAGTGTGACGTTCCCACGAACTCAACTAGTTTTCCTGTTTGTCAATAGATCTGATTACGAGTGATGAATTGAATAGTGGAAATACTTTAAAAAATGTACATTTCAATTCAAAAATACGTTTTTAAAACATTTATTATGAGGTCTGAAAACAATTATGTTGATTTTTAATTTACACTCATAAATAATTATTTGGCTAAATAAATTAAGAAACAATCATGTCAAGTTTATGGATTTTGTTAAAACAATTCTATAATTACAACAGCACCAAAAACAATCTTCCTCAGTCTAAGCAATAGCTAAATTTGTCACCACAATGGTGAACAAATGGTGAAAACAGACCATTAAACACTGTCCTTTTTGCTAATCTTGTCCAAAAAAAAAAAACATTTAAAAATTGTGCCATTTCAACATTCACTCCTCAATTCCCTCACTGGGAAAACCTTAATTTTTTTATCAGCTGCCGGTAGAGTTTGCACTTTGCACTGAATTGGTCTGGGAGGGAAAATCATGTGAGGCCTACAATGTTTAAAATGCAATGTTTTCACTCTTAAATTTAAAGGTTCCAAATGGAGGTTTTTACAGAAATGCCATTAAACAACCATTTTTGATACCCCAAAGAACCTTTCAGAACAGTTTTTAAAAGAACCGTTTTTTCTTCTGTCCTTATTTTTTATTCCAAAAAATAACTCACATTTTTATCAGGCCTGTGCATTTCTTAACTTTAAAAGGGTTTTTCAGAGATACAAACATGGTTAGATTAACTTTAAAAGAATAAGGTTAATTAGTGGTTAAAATGTTGTCAAGTTTATGGATTTTGTTAAAACAATTCTATAATTACAACAGCACCAAAAACAATCATATAAAAAACAAAGCAATAGCTAAATTTGTCACCACAATGGTGAACAAATGGTGAAAACAGACCATTAAACACTGTCCTTTTTGCTAATCTTGTCCAAAAAAAAAAAACATTTAAAAATTGTGCCATTTCAACATTCACTCCTCAATTCCCTCACTGGGAAAACCTTAATTTTTTTATCAGCTGCCGGTAGAGTTTGCACTTTGCACTGAATTGGTCTGGGAGGGAAAATCATGTGAGGCCTACAATGTTTAAAATGCAATGTTTTCACTCTTAAATTTAAAGGTTCCAAATGGAGGTTTTTACAGAAATGCCATTAAACAGCCATTTTTGATACCCCAAAGAACCTTTCAGAACAGTTTTTAAAAGAACCGTTTTTTCTTCTGTCCTTATTTTTTATTCCAGAAAATAACTCACATTTTTATCAGGCCTGTGCATTTCTTAACTTTAAAAGGGTTTTTCAGAGATACAAACATGGTTACATTAACTTTAAAAGAATACGGTTAATTAGTGGTTAAAATGCGTGTACCACCTACAATGAGCAGGAGGATCTCATCATCGAGCTTTCGTCAAATGCTGAATTCCTCAACGCTTCTTTGCTCATACCTGAACCATGAGCTCAGGTGTCTCAAAGAGGTCATTCTGAGACGTTAAAAAACAACTTCAGAGAAAAACACACATACAAGACATTTCACAAGAAATCAAAATGTAATTATGTCTTATTTTATAATTCTGAATGTCTGATAAATGGCATATGTTCTGGTGCAGGGTTCTGGTACAAGGTGAGAACAACTGGCTATGTTTAGCACCCTTCAGTGGGTCACCCATCATATCAATAAAAGTGGGTGTCTTCAAAAAGAACATTGGATCTTTCTCAGTGTGACAGGGGAAAACCATCATGCTTTTTTTCTATAGACCCTTGCATTCTTGAGATTAGCGTAAGAAAAGCACAGCCTTTGGCCTTTAATGCCTCAGACAAAGGTGTGGAGCAATTTATTTGTTAGGAATTTATCCTCTGAGTGTTCAATCAAAACCTGTCTTCCTCAATCCCCATGACTTGAGGCCCATCATTTGTGTTTTTAAGTAAATAATCACAGTTTTCAAAAAGAAGTACAGTCAAGTCTCTCCATAAAAGCTGCTTTCTTCCAACTGTCATCGAAATGGATCTTAGTACATGCTTTAATTTTCAACAGGGACTGTTTGTTTTCTTCGTCTCTATAAATACCAGTTTAAAGAGCTTTCTATTTAACTTTCTTCTCTGTGAACCTTTTTACCTGTTCTGAAAAAAGAGAGGACTCACCTTGCTGTGCAATGTGTCGATGACCTAAGAAACGAGGGCTTTGGGGTCTGTTGGTGTGATGTGTTGAATAGGAAACCTTTGCTGAACTTCTGTGCAAACTTTGCAAGGCACAGACAGCTTAAAAGGGAGAAGTAATCCATCGATTTATCTCTACTCAAAGAGAAGGGGCAGGCATATTCTGAACAACATGTTCACGTGAAAGTGGGAAAAGATCATTAAGGAGATTTTGCAATGAATAGTGGAAAATGTATTACTGAATAATTTGAAACATCAATGTAGAAATTGTTGATCATTTAGCATATGTTCTCTTTGAACAACAGAATGTGCAGCTTCCAATCAAGTCAGGTGATGTTAGGCTATTAGCCTGATGGCTTTCAGAATGGACACACGGCACAAAAGCCATGTTCAATGTCCCTGATTGTATGACTTAGTGGCTAGAATGAATAAATGAACAGATGAATGAATAAATGAATTCATTTTTAAGAAGTGGATTTTTACTTGGCCTATAGCTGACAGTTTGAACTTACAGGATTTCTAATAAAGATATGATTAAGATTAAGCTCCAGCTTACATTGAAGTCAGTACTCATATGGAGAGGGAGAGAATAATGGAGCATATGTTAATAATTTCAGTGGTGGAAATTATATGAATTATTCCAATGGTGGAGATGACCAGCCATTGTCCAAATGATTTTCTGTGCTTCCTTCTAATAGAACCTTGATATAATGCCACTCTTATATAATACAACGTACATCATCAACCAGCTGAGATGGGGGCTAATCAAAAGGTTATTGCTATTGTGCTATTTTTGTGTCATTGCTGACTAAGTAAACCTGTGAAAAAAGAAAGAAAGAAAACAGTCTTTGTCTAAGACGGAAGGCAAAATAGTTTGAACATGTCCACTGAAAATGAAATACAAATCACTGTGTGCTTTTGCATCTTTTTATTTCATTTGCTAAGTGCTACATTACCTCATGCTTTGGACCTCACAAAAGATTTCCCATAAATCTCCTGGCGGCTGAGAGTAATTGATCAGGCGGTTTGATTAACCTGTCTGAAGGGTCCTCCCACAGTACTACAGGTCTTGGCTGGCTCTGTGTATGGCTTGTTGGAAATGTTCATTGTCAGTTAGCCTGGCTGAGCTCAGGCTGCAGAGGTTAAATTCTGGACCCAACCTCCACTGGGGGAACATGTCTGCATTCATGTTGCCTACAAACTATAGTGACATAATTTTGATAGCTTATGGATCAATAACGTTGCAAGTGATGCTTTTACTATTTGTCTCTTTGGTCACATGGTACTTCCTGCCCATCAACACACCTCATCCACTTATACGACATATAATAATAAGTCTGGATGCTTTGCACTCGCTCTCATAGTCTGTAAGGACTTGCTCTGTGTGCCAAGTGTGTTTCACTTGAATGTCGCAGTGGTGCCCAGCAATCTGCAACACACTTGTGAAGCCATCTCGTCCCCATAATGGCCAATAATTGAGCAGAATCCATCACAGGGGCTGAAAATAGACTGCCATAATGGCCATAAATTGTAGCCCAGGAGAGATTAACACACAGAGCTGTGCCGACCCTGCTGTGCCTGAGAGTCTCCTGTACCTCCAGAGACGAGCTTGTCTCATTCTCCTCTCCATCACCTGCTGATTTCATACATGGGGCCAGTGATTAAAATTATAGCTCCTAAAGCAGGAGGCCTTGTGCTCTTGGTGGGTGGATGTGTGGGAAGAGCTGCGCTAATGCCCACCATACAGTACACTGAGGTTAGCTTTCTGTGATACCTCACCTGTTCGGCATATTGAGAATAACATTGGAATGGAAAAAGGAAGCTTATAAAGAGCTGACAGTCATCTGGATAGCCTCAGGTGGTTTGATGGCTTACTTTAACCCTCTAACTGTTAAAAGCATAAAGAGTAAATCTGCATAGAAAATTTGTGTTTTCACTGTGTGTGGATTTATTATCATTAATGTTGAACCCCCTGTCACACATACACAAACAACCAGAGAGGGTAATTAACTCATCTCATTTAAAGCAGAAGTTCATAGCCCAAAGACTTCCTTACAAGTCCCACATTAATCATGGCTTATTTCATGTGATTGAGTGAATGAATGACTGAATGATTGAGGCTGACGTTTGCCTTGGGTTGATGGAATGTGTTTGTGGTGAAATGTCGTAAATGCAAAAGTTCTCTGAGCAAGGAATATAAATATGTCCCAAACCGCTCACTAGAATTATCACATAATTGGGGACTTTCCACGTCTGCCGTAGGGCAACACCCTTCCAACTCCCTGTGCTGTGCCCCGAGTTTGAGTTTGGTTAGGTTTTATTTGTGGCTTCCGAACATTATCTCTCTATGCAAAACAGTTTGCTTGGCAGAGTCAATCTGAGTGCAGGCAGCAATTCTACAAAGATCTGTTCATTTCACACAACCATGGTTTGAGGTTTGATAAACTTATCTACATGGTCTACCATTAAAGTACTTACATATATGTACTTTATGTATTTTTAATTAGAATATAATAGTTTTGTTACTCCATACTATTGTATATGTAAATCACTGTTCGTTGCTAAATGAAAAGTGCCTCGAGAATCCTAACCTTCTAGCCAATGTTATTTCAATTATGACCATTTTTGATTATGACCATCATCATTTTAGCTCATTTCAAATGCTTTTGTGACTTTTGACTTAATTCACAGACAGTTCTTTCCATTTGTTTGTTTTGTTTAATGTTCTCTCACACTCCATATCCAAATGATTGGATAGATAAGCACAGTTCTGGAAAAAGAAAAAAAGCCTAAATGACACATGTTGCCTCACTGTTCAGCAGGTGAGTCATTCAGCATGCCTTTGATAC